AAATTTGTGTTTTCCAATGGTCTTAGGCGACCCCTGTGAAAGGGTCGTTCGACCCCCCCAAAGGGGTCGCGACCCACAGGTTGAGAACCGCTGCCTTAGGGTAAAATTTGACATGATGACGGGATTCACATGTTTGCTTCTTCTCCTTCAGTGGGGGCAGTCATCCAAGCTGGTTAGGTCATGCCTCCTCTTGCTCCAGGAGCAACTGGAAATACCAGGGATTGGATTTTTTGCTACAAAATTGTGTATTCCACTTGAAGCAGCCTTCAAAATGCACCGTTTCAATGGAGTTGAGTCATTGAGTCTATTCCTGAAATTAAGCCTAACTACATGTGGTGGAACTGAATACGGCAAGAGTCCAGTAGCACCTTAAAGACTAATGAAACCTTTACCTTTACCTATAGGGTCACACCCTGCCAAAATTTTGTTAGTCTTTAAGATGCTACTGGACTCTAGCTCTTTTTTACTGCTACAGACAGACAGACCCTTCTTGATCTATCTCCGTGGAACTGAGTAGATACCCTTTTCTGTTTACCATTGCTATCCCTGTGTCAAATTGTTTAGATTATGAGCTGTTCAAGATAGGGACTTACCTTTTTGTTTATGCACATTCATGGTGCTAAAGGAATAAATAATGAGAGCTCTCTTTCAGCATTACACCATTATGAATCAGTAGAAGTCAAAGATGTGTATGGATGATATGTACATAAATGCTAGGAAAGACAAGTTGAAAAAGCTCTGTAATCACCATCTATGCATGGCTGAACCTGATTACATAGCCTGATCCTGACCATGTCTACCCAGAAGTAAGTCTTACTGAAATCAATTGAGGAAGCATTGTAGGTACTTAACAGCCCTAACGCAACTGAAGTACCTATCTATCTCTCTGGATATGGGGAACAATTACAATCTAGAAAGCTTGCTATGGTGACTATTCACTATCCGTCAGCTTAAGGTACAATGGCTTTTTGTCTGTGTTAATGGAGATCTGATGTCCCAGTTGTTCTATGAATGCATAACATATGGTGTTACACAGTTCACTTTGTTTCTAGTTTCTGGCTAGCTTAGCTAAAGTAGCACCTAATTTATTGCAAGCCTTCTTGAGCACAAAGAAATTGTAATGTCTTTCAGCTTCTTTCTAACTTTTTCTTTTACTCAAATACTGTTGTATATTATCTGTATATTAAAGATTAGAGTCAAACTATCCAAGCTGTATTATTTATTTAGGATATTCCTATGCCACCTCTTCAGAATTCTGCTTGAGGTGATTTACAGTTAAAATCAGCACAATATTAAAACAAGCAATTAAATGCACACATATACATGTGTAGACGAACTCTGGAGATTTCTTTGAAGCATTTAATGCAGCCACTCACATGCTTTAGAAGAGGCAGGTCACTTTTCAGTGTAAAATATGGCTTGCTTCTTCAGCAGTGTGACTTGGAAATATCTAATACATCTCTTAAGTGTCTATAGACCAAGTTGCATTGCATGAGCATATGACAGCATTTCTCTTTTTGTGTTTTCATATTTGTAAAGAATAAATCATCCTGAGTTTAATTTTATGATAGTTACAATAAATTTATCGTAAAAATTAATAATGTTTCTTTTTGTAAAAATGTATATATTTATTAGTCATGCCCTATATCAGGGGTGTCAAACTCATTTGTTACAAGGGCCGGATCTGACATAAATGTCACTTTTCCCGGGCCGGACCATGTGTGCCTTAAAATTCAACATGAGGTACTGGAGATATAAACTTTATAAAGATGATTTCACATGCCAAATGGCAATAGCAGACTTGATTGGATTAGGTGTGATATGCAGAGGGGTAGTAGGCATGGAGATATCATCATTGGCAATGAGACAGGAAATCTGGGTCTCAGTTGGGTTCGGGAGTATGCAAAGAATAAATAGACATAAGCCTGAAGAAGTGAGCAGTGACTTATGAAAGCTCATACCCTGCTGCAAATTTTGTTAGTCTTCAAGGTGCTACTGGATTCTTACTCTTTCTACAGCTATAAGAAACCGCAATATTCAAAAACCAGTGGGGGGACATTTTAACCTTCCAGGACATTCAGTTGCTGACCTAAAAGTAGTAGTTCTCTTACAAAGGAAATTCAAATGGAGATTAGAAAAAGAGACTGATACTTCTAATAACAATATATATAATTGAAAAAAGAAAAAAAGAGAGACTGATGAATTGCGCCTGATAATGAAGCTCAATGCATCCTCCTGGGCAGAATTGATACCTAGGTTTCTTCTCTCTTTACCAATGGCTGCTATCGTTATTTGGCACTTCACTCTCCAAGTTATAAGGGCAAATGGACTCACATTCTAGCTGTATCTGAAGAAGTGAGCAGTGATTCATGAAAGAAGAACCCTGCAAAAATTTTGTTAGTCATTAAGGTGCTACTGGACTCTTGCTCCCTTCGACTAATAAAGATTGCAAGCTGTGCTGTTAGGTGTCTTTTATTATTTTTTTTTTTCATTTGTTAGAACTGGAAAGGGGGATCTCTCCAAGTGAAATAATGTGTTGCTTTCCGACTGGACAAAATCCACTCACTGCTAGTGATGATAATAAAAAGTTTAAAAAGCAAGGGGAGGGTTAATGTGAAGAAAGGCAACCAGTGAAATGGGAGGGGAGAGAGGGAGACTATGTAACTGGAATATATGGAACTATAAATGTATTCTTAAATACTTAGCCATCTACTTCCAGTCATTAAACTATGGAATCCAATCCAAGTGTTGTAATTCCTAACCAGGATCTTTTTGAAAGAAAATCCCAGATAGGCAAAGAGAAATCTAATCTTTTTTTTTTTAAACCTTTTCAGAATAAGGCCAAAATAATTTCCCTTTAATTTCCCTTATCCCTGATGCATCTTTTTCCTGCCTCCCTTCCTTTTTTAATGTGTGTATGTGCGCGCGCGCGCGCGCGCGCGTGTGTGTGTGAGAGAGAGAGAGAGAGAGAGATATCAGGTCTCAAAGTAAACGGCAAAGCAGGGCTTGTCAGAAGAATCTCCCTCCTTCCCTCTAAAGAGGTGTGCATGCACAGGAAAGCTTATACCTGGAACAAAACTTTGTTGGTGCCATGAGACTCCCTCTCTGAACAAGGGAAGAGAGGCTAGGCAACTCAGCAGCAGCCCCAAAGGAGGAAGCAGGAGAGAGCGGAGGGAGTTTTTCTCTATTGCGCATCCGTGCATTCTCTTTTTCATTCCACCTCGCTTCCCTAAAGGAGGAGAGACTTGGCAACACAGCAGCAGTGCCAGAGGAAGAGACAGGAGAGAGCAGAGGGAGCTTTTCTTTGGTCTGTGTGTGTGCACTCTCCTTTTCCTTCCCCTTTACTTCCCTAAAGGAGGATGAGAGGCTTGGTGACACAGCAGCAGTAGTGGCTGGGACAAGGAATAATAATAATAATAATAATAATAATAATAATAATAATAATAATAATAATAATAATAATTCAATTTATTAATTGCTCAATCCTGCAGAGCTGCTGGCTCTGAGTGATTTACAGTTACTCAAATACACACGGGACTAACAATAATTCAAAGGGGTAAGGGAGGACAACATATAAATCTTTAAATCACACATGTTCACAGCAGACGGGGAGTTTGTTCAGCAGTAAGGTCAGACATGTTCCAACGACATTTTCCCCTTGGCGTGGCTTGATGTCGTCAGCTTTCTCCAGGACTGCTTCAGTTGCAGCACAGCACTGCCACCGCCTGGCCAGACGGCCCATTACAGGCTTTCTTGATGCCGAAGAGTTCTTTCTAGGCTTTTCGATCTCACGCGCTGGACCTTCCGTTCGCCGGTTAACACCTCCCCCACCGGGGGGTTTAGCGTGCCCACCCTCTCTAAGGAGTGGTACCCATTTTATCTACTCGCTGAAGCTTTCGAACTGCTGGGTAGACGGCGAGCTGGGGACAAGGCTGGTAGCTCACACCAGCACGGGACTAGAACTGACAGTAGTTCTGTTCAGCTCAGTTTTCACCAGAGGATAAATCCCCTATGCCACTGTAGTTGCTCGTGGGCAGGGCTGGATCCAGCCTGCGGGCTGCATGTTTGACACCACTGTCTTATATGGTACCCACCTGCAGATTAAAAAAAATACATTTTGGGGCCACACAGAGCTAGGTTTGCAGAAATGTAGGATGGTATTTTTAATTACAGAGGTAACTACCACTACAGCCCCTCCAACTGGGACAGTGATGTCTGTGCATCGCACAAAGGAGCCAAAGAGTTCATGACTAACCAATGTCTCATAAGAACACCCAAGGTTTGGGTCATTATTTTGGATTGCCAAGAGAGTGTATCACAGCATTGGAGCCTGTGTATCCTGTCTGGCTGCAGGGAATTGGCTGCTGATTTTTGGTGACCTCTGCCAAGCATCAAGTGCCAGGTGGCTCACCTGAGGCTTCCCAAAAGGTGGCAAATTTCTCTGCAGACTCAAAAAAACAGACTAACAAAAACAAAGCCTTGCCATTGTCAGGTGTTTCTTTGGCAACTCAGAATGCTGTAGCATCAGTAGGCGCAACCAGGAGAAGGAGGGGGATGAAGTAAGGGGGGGGTGGACAAATAGTGAGTGTGAAAAGGAAAAGAATCTCAGACAGGTGGATGACTGGGGGACAAACACCAAAAGAGTGAGTGGTTGGGGAAGGGAAATAGAGGCAGAGAAGAGAAGCAGAGTTAGGGCAGGAGGGGAAGCTGAAGGCCAGTGGTGTGGCGTGGGATTTCTGTTTATCCACGAGTCCTTGCACATTCACATCTTGTAGTGTAGTTTTAGAGTTATTTCTAGTCATGGATCTTGTTTCCTGTGATCCACTGCAGCTCTGGGTATAATGTTTCGAAGTTCATAAGGATCAATATCACAGTCATTGTTTGTTTTCCGAATACTTAATTGTCTGTAGTTCATCTGCTTTATCTGTAAAAGTTACCAATAGTAACAGAGAATAATTATTTATGTATGTAGTCATTTGATCTTTTCCTTTGTTTTACAGAAACCATAGTCCACTAATGAGTTTTGGAGCCAGCTTTGTCAGTTTTTTGGTGAGTGCGAAGAACTTTGGCAGTTCTTATTTCATTTCTGTAGATATGTAAAATATTTAATTCAGAATATATTACTAATTTGTAGTACCAGTTTCTGAAATGCAATATATTTATAAAATTTTATTTTCTTACAAGATGCCTATAAATCCTTACAAGATGCCTATATGTCAAATTTATGTATTTACCATTTTGGTCTTAGTAGAATGTGCATTCTTTAAGACACAGATTCACAAACTAGGCTGAGTGCAGATTCCATTAACATCATAGTTTTTAGATTTGGGAATATGCCTTGGGTTCATGCCCTGTCTCTTCACACATATCCTCCAACTCTTACATGCAGGTTCCCTTTTCTGCTTTTGAACTGTAGCTTGCACTACATTAAGTCGGAAAGCTATAATTAATGTCTTGCCTCTAGTTTAAACAATATTCTGGAGTTTGTCAACTATTAGTTTTGAGGCAAAGTCCAAATAATAGATTGTGCATTTGTATATTTTGGTGATCTATAGTCAGAAAGGAAGGGAATGGAGGAGGATGGGAATGTGTGCAAATGTCAGGTTCAGTACATCTGGACCATGGCAAAAAAAAATCTCTTAGCTATTTTTGGAGCACTTTAATGGATGTGTAGTAAAAAACACTATCTCATAATAGAGCACATATTTTATGATCTAATGTTTTTATGTTTGCTGCCTTATGGACCCTAACTGGGTGGAAAAGCGGAATAAGAATCTTCTAAATAAATAAATAAAATATATATTCTGTCTCCTTCTGCAGGATCCTAATGTTGGTTTAGAAAAGAAACAATTGTCATAGGGTTCCTTGTATAATTCCTGGCCTGACTAGGATAGTAGTATGTATTGTACAGTGTTTTTTTAACCTTGTATTATGCCTGTGTGTGAAGGCATCTTAAGTTACTCTGTCTTTCTTTTGCATCCTTCCCCTATCCAGAATTAGTTATCAGTTTGGCACGTAAATGTACAGAGAGGCAAACTTAAATAAATTGCACAGTTTTGCACTCCATGATTGTTTAATCAGAACAAAGAGATAGTAAAGATTGTTATAGCCAGATTATTTTCCATGCTTCATTGCCCTTCTACCTCCTCTCCATCTTATTTGACAATCAGAATCTGTTTTTCCTTTCTAGATAATGATCAAAAGCATAGGAACTGAGTATCTCCTTTTTTGGGGGAAGCTGCTGCTTACAAACCTCCTCCTTAGACTCTGAGGGGGCAAAGCATGTGCATTCCTGGCAAAGAACGTGTAACAATGAACTGCTGTGTAGTTCACCACTGATAACTTTTCACACATGCACTAAAAATAACAATACTGTAATTAAGTTCTGGGTTAACATAAGAATTTAAGAGAAGCCAATGTTGGATTAGGCCAACGGCCCATCCAGTCCAACACTCTGTCACACAGTGGCCAAAAATACCAGGTGCCATCAGGAGGTCCGGCAGTGGGGCCAGGACACTAGAAGGCCTCCCACTGTTGTCTCCTCCCCCCCCAAGCACCAAGAATACAGTGCATCACTTGCCCCAGACTGAGAGTTCCTATCTATACCATGTAGCTAATAACCACTGATGAAACTCTGCTCCATATATTTATCTAATTCCCTCTTGAAACCGTCCATGCGTGTAGCCGCTGCCACCTCCTTCCATGTGTTAATCACTCTTTGGGTGAAGAAGTACTTCCTTTTATCTGTTCTAACCCGACTGCTTAGCAATTCCATTGAGTGCCCACAAGTTTTTGTATTGTGAGAAAGGGAGAAAAGTACTTGTTTCTCTACCTGCTCTATCCCACACGTAATCTTATCAATCTCTATCATGTCACCCCTCAGTCCTTGTTTCTCCATGCTAAAGAGCCCCAAGCGTTTGAACCATTCTTCATAGGGAAAGTGTTCCAACCCTTTTATCATTCTAGTTGCCCTGTTTTGCACTTTTTCCAGTACTATAATATCCTTTTTGAGGTGTGGTGATCAGAACTGTACACAGTATTCCAAATGAGGTCGTACCATTGATTTATACAGGGGCATTATGATACTGGCTGATTTGTTTTCAGTTCCCTTCCTAATAATCGTGAGCATAGCGTTGACCTTTTTTTATTGCAGTTGCACACTGTCTTGACACTTTCATTGAGTTATCTACTACGACTCCAAGATCTCTCTCTTGGTCAGTGTCTGCCAGTTCAGACCCCATCAATGTGTATTTATAGTTAGGAATTTTTGCTCCAGTGTGCATCACTTTGCACTTGGCCACATTGAACCCCATTTACCACGTTTAAGCCCACTCGCCCATCCTCGACAGATCTTACTTAGGAGCCTTTGATGAGGAACTTTATCAAAACCTTTCTGGAAGTCAAGGTAAACAACATCTATTGGGTCCCCCTTGTCCACATGGTTGTTCACGCCCTCAAAGAACACTAACAGGTTAGTGAGACAAGATCTTCCCTTACAGAATCCATGCTGAGTCTTCCTCAATAGGTTTTGTTCATCAATTTGCCTACTAATTCTTTCCTTAATAATAGTTTACACCAACTTACCCAGCATTGACGTCAGACTGACTGGCCTGTAATTTCCCAGATCTCCTCTGGAACCCTTTTTAAAGATGGGAGTGACATTAGCTACCTTCCAGTCCTCAGGAATGGAGGCAGATTTTAATGAAAGATTACATATTTTTGTAAGGAGATCCACAAGTTCACATTTGAGTTATTTCAGAACTCCAGGCCTGGTGATTTATCAGTTTTTAAGTCGTCTATGAGTCATAGGACCTCTTCTCTCGTCACCTCAGTCTGACTCAGATTTTTTAGATGGTGGTCCATTTGGGCACATTCTGTGTAGGGAGGATAAACCTTGCAATGTATGACTGTTCAGATAGTATAACTGTACACATTTTGGGGGGAAAGCTTAACAGTGTCTTTTCTCTTGAATATCTCTTCTTACCTTAAGACATAACTGGAAAGATTTTCCAGCCTAGCTTATATTAGCTGGTTGCTGAACCAGTGCAACATCCCAGCACAGCATCCGTGTACCCTGAAAAGCTTCTGCTTAGTGACTGTTCTAAATATAGCTGCAGCCTTTTCCATGCCTGTGTCATTCAGAACTTCCATTAGAAAAAGCATCAGAAAATTTGCTATCTTAACATTCTCTTTTAAATAGATTTTGTAAAAGGTCGGGTGATATTATCCTATTTAGAATAAAGACATTCTTCTCACATTAAAATTTGCTTTTGCCTTTGAGGTATAATACATAATATGGTATGCTGTATCAAAGTGAATATATTCAGATACCTCTGTCGCTTACATAACAGTAACTGAATGAGAATTTATGTACTTTAAGTCTCTTTGCAGCTAATAGAATATGACATTGTTTTCAGTTCAGCTGGATATAAAGCATTCAGTTGTGTTGGAAGAAGCAAAGACAGGATTGGTTAATAATTTCTGATTTTTAGTCTCTTGACATTTTACTAATATATATTTGCCACATTGATGACGTGAATAGGAAGCAACCCCTACATTTTAACTTCCTAACATTTTAGATCATAAAATGTCTCTGGGTATTTATTTTATTTCTTCTGTGTTTATGTATTTTTAAAGCTTGTGATATACAAGTCGTTAACTTTCTATTCTTTATGTCAAGAAATATGTTTAAGTGGGTTTTCTTGTGAAATGTCAGTTTAAAAATTTCTCATGGAATTATTTTTGATAGCCTTTCAAAATTAATAACCAAATATGAATATTCTGCATCTAAATTTGGGCTGCTACCATAGCATCATGTTCCATTGGGAACACACTGACACTGTGATGTACCTGAAGAGCAAAACTGTAATTCCTAGCAGACTGCATGTAATAAAAAAAAAATGTAGTAAACACTGAGTATTCCTTTTTTCCTGAGGAACTGAAGAGTACAATCTTCTGGACTCTGGTTCTATTTCCACTGCCTTGGGAAATAGCTGTCTGCTGATGCCAGCTCATATAGCATTTGAACTACCGGAAGAACTGCAAGTAGCGTACATTCTAGAGTTAGTAGCCTAGCCATGTTGCAGAAAAAGAAAAAGGAGACTCATGATACTTTAGAGACGAGCAGATTTACCAAATAATCCTATGCAGAGTTACTCCAGTCTGTCCATTGCACATAGTAGAGAGTCGAAAGCAGGTCTTCGTAGGGTTGCACTGTTCTTGAGGTATAAGCTTTCATGAACTGTAGTCCACTTTATGAGATGCATGAATTCTATCGCCTTCTTAGATCTGTACTAATTCTGCGTGTATGTGTTGGGTTAGCCAGTTTGTGAAGCGCTAAGGGCTGCACTGAGTTTGTTATGAGTTATGAGTTTATAGTACCCTAATTTGAATGTGTTTTGTCATGAACATGATAGATGCTAAATAGCTAAGATATTTTATTATACAGTGCCTTTCCTCAGAAATCGATACTCTTAGCAAGTCAGCTTTTCAGAAATCTTCACATACGAGTTTAGAAATCCTAAGAGTTGCACTTGCCTCCTTAGTATTTTACTGTATTTTACTGTTGCATTTTCAGACCATTCAGGAAAAGAAAAGATCTTAGGTTGCATAGATAAGAAAATTAGATTTATGACTGTGTGGTAACATTAATTTTGATCTTGGCAAAGATTGCATTTTATGTGTAATGATTACAAAGTGATTACAAAAAAGCTTTGACTTCCCAGTAGGGGGTTGCACTTAAGAAATGTTCGTTTTAATTTCATTTCAGGATTTTGGGAAGAGCATGATTTTCATTATCCCCAAATTTTCAGGTTGTTGATACCATTTTGGGAAAAAAATTAGGGACATTTTTAGGTTCAGGAATATTGGCTCCTGAAAATCATGTCCTTAAGAAAAATGAAATGATTTTTAGTGCATATACTTCCCTCCATCCCCCCCACCATGCCTCAGGAATGACACAGGAGGAGGGAGGGAGGGAGCACCCCAGCTGGTCTGTGGTGCTGATGCTGCTAAAGCCCTTTAAATGCCCTGGTCAGTAGACCTGGCCTCTTGAGTCCAGACTCAAAAGTAGAGGCGAAAAACGATGCAGCGGGAAAAAATATTTATTATATTTTGCTCAGAGATCCATACACATTTTGCATGCTACTTCACTAGGGGACCTGCCGTCTCCACCTCTCAGAATGTTCCCAGTGTGGTAAGCTGAGTCCAAACACCAGGTCTACTGCCTGTGGGAATTAGCAGTGGTACACCTGGTGCCCATACTTCCCAAGTCCTTTGACATGGGCTACATTCAAATTTCAAGATAAATCATGGCATATAAACTACTGTAGTTTGAGCAATCCTTGGTTAGTTTTGAAGTCTAAATACGCACAAGGTTTGCTAATTGGCATTAAGCTGGGATTTCAAAGTAGTCTGTACTAATTGTGGTTATCTGTGATATTTGAATTCACCTTTCATGGCTGCCTGTTCCCAGAAACAGCTGGGTAGATGTTCTCCCTGCTGGGTGGAAGAAAGAAGGCAGGAAAACGGGCAGACTGGGTTTTATGCACAAACAAACTGGGATTGGTTGTTTAAATCTGATCTGTGTTTGTTGCACAGACCACGGTTTAAACAAATGATGGTTTGTTTTAATTCCTGAATAGAGGCCATTGGTTTGTAAACGGAATAATTTTTTTGAGATGGTAATACATTTTAGCGGTATGTAAAATGGCTATACAATATTCCAGTATTCCTAGTTTAACAATACTGAGCAGGTTTTGATTAGCTTGCCACTTTACAATTCAAATATTCTTCTATTTTTCTATAGAATGCCATGATGACTTTTGAAGAAGAAAAAATGCAATTGGCGTGTGATGACTTAAAGGCCACTGAAAAACTGTGTGAGAGTGAAGAAGCAGGAGTTATAGAAACAATAAAAAATAAAATCAAAAAGAATGTAAGTGTAATATTGCCAAGATATGAATGCATGAATGTGTCCTAGGCTAGTGCAGTCACTGCCCCTGGAGTGAGGCTGTTTGGCTCATAAAAGAGGCTTGCATGGTTGAGTTTTCAAATTCAGTTTCAGATTTAAACCATATATGGGGTTTATTGTTCTGCATGATTTTCAATATAATAATATCCATTACAGGTGAAATAAGCATTAAGATTCTTCTACCCACTTAAGGCTCCTCCTATTTGCTCCATCCTTAGAAGCCCCTCTTTTCAGTCATGATAGTCAAATGGAATCTCCATGTTCAGAGGCAGTATCTCTCTGAATCCCATACAGGCACAATCAGGATAGGATTGTTGTTTTCAAGTCTTATTTGTATGCTTCTGAGACATAGTTGGAGGGACTTGGCTAGAAATAGAAGTTGCACTAGTGAAGATAGGTAACTTCCCAAAACCACAAACAGCATACAAGGCAAAGAAGGAATCTGATCTTCAAGTACATCTCCTCCCCCCAAATGGTTTCCAATTCATTTAGTTTCCCCCAGACATTCAAATCAGACTGACATTTTAATTTGTTAACCAGATCCTCCCCAGATTTATTCCACTTTGATCCTTTGGATATCTTCCTATCTTCATGTCAACCACTGCATTTGTTTTAAGTCGGTAGAGGTTTTTTGCTTTTACACAGAGCTGTTACCTCTAGCCCCCATTTTAATATTATTTGTACTTGCTGAGTTGCAAGCTCATAGACTGTGTAGCGACTCAACAGCTGTGCCTTTGCTTTGCTGTTCCTGCTATGTAAATTCTTAGAAGCTGGGGCCCAGATTTACTGCAGGACTTGTTTGTGGCCTTGTGGGTAGGGTGGGGGGAGGGCAAGGAGGGTAATGGCAGCAGCTATGGCTCTCATGGGCAGGGCGGGGGCTGGGCCACAACAAGTGCAGGACGCTTGGCCCTGCCTGAGCCCACTGCTGAGCCTGTCCCGGGGTCCAGAGAGGGCTGGAGGGTGGGGGTGGCCAAGAGGGCCATTTAAGGCCCTGCACTGCCCTGGGTTGACTTCCTTGCATTGTGGTTTTTAAGGGATCTTGGGGTAGGGATTCAAGGAGCATGCCCTGCTTGGCGGCTGTCGGGGGCTATCTTCATGCTCAAGTGACAGGGGAGACCACTTACGGGCGGTCGTTCTTGTGGGATCCAGTGACATGTCATCCCATGGTTCACAGCCTCCCCAGCAGGCTGGGGTGGGCAGGAGATCATTGACTGGTTGGCAGGTTAGTTGATGTTCAGGATCCAGTTCCCCATGCTGTGCCAAGGCTTCTTACATCTGTAACCAATAAAGTTGTGGCCAAATTATTCCAAACCAAGTTGTGCATGTGTTATTCAATGGGTCATCAAACAATTAATGGGCCCAGTGTGCAGGGGTCCCCCCTTCTGCGACCTCCCCCATGTCCTCCCCTTGGCGCTGCAAATCAAAATGACAGATACAGAGTTCACCTTTTGTACTTCAAAAGATTTATATGTTACCATTCCAGTTGGTAAAAGGTGGTCCTACATCATTTGCTACTAGCTGTTTATGTATATGAAGTCAGCACGTGTCCTCTCAAGCCAGAATGATTAATTTTGGCTAATAATTCCTCTGAAGTATCCCACTGATGCTGTTAATCTTTGCTAGTTCAGTAGACCTAGAGCAGCACGCTGCATAGTTTATAAATAATTCAGCTCTATCTCCCTTTGAGAACATCCTGACCTGCATTATTAACATTGGGCTTATAAAGTCTATGCAGTTTGCTTAGTTTTACTGTGCCACATATTTGGCAATGGGGATCTGTTATAGTGTTCCCGTTCCCAGTGTATAACTGCATTTCTATACCCCTTTCCCTATCCCTTTTACACATAGCAGGCTTGGGTTGTTGAACTTGTGGGGTAGGAGCATGGAAATCATCAGCTTTATGTGAGGCAAGGGGGGCAGTAGCCTATTGTTATTCCTTTATGTGAGGTAAAAGGCGACATTTTGAAAGGTAATATGCTTTTAAAATATATAGAGTATTACTACTTGCTTAATCCATTACTTTAAATACTCTTAGGATTGATTCAGACATAAATTGAAACCATGTTCTGTTTGAACTACAGTTAGGATTGTGAAGCCTGGATTCAGCTCACTGATAAATGCTCAATCCATTTCTTTCACTTGGTTGTCTGGAAAGGCTTTGCCAGAAAACAAGCCAGGAGTAAACTAGGGTGTCTGCACTCAAAGAGGCAATTATCCATCCACTATTTAAAAAAAAAAATCCCTACAAAAAAGTTATGTGGTCAGTTGTCACATGGATTAATCCTGGCTAGTTCCCTAATGCTGTCCTTGCTGTAGAGGCCAGGATCCTGGTAGGGGCAAAGCAGGAGAAGGGATGAAAGCAATGAAACCAGCATTTGAAGGATCTCTGTGATCATCTGCAAGCTGAATCCTGGTTTCACAAACTGTAGTTAAAATAAACCATGGTTTTGCATGATGCTGCAAAGCAGATCTTGGGGCTGTATTTGCAGGGAAGCTTCCTGCATTACAATTAACTGGGTGGTATCTGATACTTCCCAGTACTGTTTATTATTGTTCTACCAAATGATAAAGCAATAGTGTCAAAGTAAGCTTGTTCTCTGCCTTACACCCAGAATAGTGCACATGGGGCATGCATTTATTATGAGAACTTGTTTCATGTGTTTGCTGTTCTGTCTAGGTGTCCATGACTGCCTTCCTACTCCAGATGTAGGAGGGCTATTGTGTGCATATATGCATACGTGGCAACGAACCATCTTCCCTGCTAAAACAGAAGGCAAAAGGGGTGTTTTAATGTGTTGTCATTTCTTGTTTTCTGTCATGTTCCTTATCATTATGCATTGGCATTAGAGATGTAAAATTTCCGGTAATTTTGAAGCTCAGGAAAAAACCCAGGTTTTTCCCGTTTTTTTCCCCTGGGAAAACCCCCAGAAATTTTCGGAAAAATTGAAAAAAATGCTACATTGGCACTTCTTTTTTCTTTTCCAGATTGAAAGTCATTCTGTTACTTTAGGAACATAAAATATGACTATGGACAATTTTACTTGGCATGAAATTATCACAACTAGTATATTAAAAATATTGTGTATCCAAACAGTTATTACAAACAGAATTTACTTTTAAAATAATATTTATTTGTAATTGTAACAAATGGAGCAACAATCTCCTGAACTGTTTACTAGTTTATGTGGAACAGACAAAAAAACCTCCACAAAACAATTTTTAAAAATCCAGAAGTAACAATTATTCATATTTCCTCTCCACAGTATTAAATAATAAAAAACCCATTCTCATAAAAATAATTGAAGAGGGGGGAAGTGTATAGAAGGGAGTGTGGGACTAAGTTTCAATGAATGGGCATGAAATTTAATCAGAATCATTTTCTGAGCTGTAATTATCAGTTTTAGTCTCTGCTTCTGCAGCTACTCTGTTGTGTCTGTCCATTGGAGAGTTCTATCCATTGGAGAGTTCAGTTTGTAACCTAGGACTTGCTTGTCCTCAGTGCATAGAAATCCTCTGCAACAGATGGGAAATGCACAATGTTTGCAGAGTTTCCAAACATACAGACATAGTGTATCATACTACGTTAGAAGCCAGTATCAACACACTGCAGTGCTATAATTTCTACACAGAGATTTTAACGATCCTGATGGAAAACTTACTTTGCACTCCTGTGTTACATGTTAATAAATATTGTCTCTTTGGGAGAATTTAATCTGTATCGTGAGTCTTCCATATTTTTTTCAACAGGTTGATGGCCGAAAGTCTGCCCCATCCATGATCGATCGGCTGCAGAGACAGATAATCGTAGCTGACTGTCAGGTTTATCTTGCTGTGCTTTCTTTTGTAAAACAAGAACTATCAGGTGACCAGCATTTCTTAATATTAATAAGATTTGTTTTTTCATAGCATGTGCTTGAATGCTTTGTCATTTTAATCTACCAGGTCCTTATTATGTGGGAAGCAAGTGAGGAATTTTGAGTAACCAATTGTACTTGCAGGTCATTGACAGGTAGGGTTGCCAGGTCTGATTTGGGAAATACCTGGAGACTTTGGGGGTGGAGCCAGGAGAGAGCGGGGTTTGGGGAGGGGAGGGGCTTCAGCAGGGTACAAGGCCACAGAGTCCACCCTTCGAAGCAGCCATTTTCTCCAGGGGAGCTGATCTCTGTCAGCTGGAGATCAGTTAGAAAAGCAGGAGATCTCCAGGCCCCACCTGGGGGCTGGCAACCCCGTTGACAGGTCACACAACTAACCTTCTGTTATCTCATTAAGACTATTTGCTAAAATCAATTTGCTGTTCTTGTGCATAGGGTAGCAATACAAGCAACTTTGTCAGCCATTGTTCAGTTAATGATATTGGTTAGTATGGAAATGATATTAATCAAATGCTACCGTTACCTGCGGTGTTGCTGTGATAGCAGAAATTGTCAGGCAGTCTCAAGTCTTTATCCAGAGACATAATTCACTTTTCCTTAATGCTACCTTAGTTCTTAGGAATAATGTAATGTATGCCATAGTGATACTGTTTTACCTTATGACCTTTTGCAAGTTTGTACTTCTTGTTCAAAAAATAGCGAATCTATATAAAAGTTACATGATGTAATCTTTAGAAAGCCTGATGTTCTTAACAGCATCGTTGATTTGCAGTCCAAGGAGATGAGTTTAAAAAAAAAAACACCCCTTCCTTCTTTCTGCCTCTTGGTGCTTGCTGCAGCATTGCTGAATAAAACTGTGTAAACACTTGCCTTGTGGTGAACCACAGAAGTATTGAAGATGCTCTGCAGCGGTTGAACTGCACAGTCTTGCAGTAACTTTAGCCTCGTAATAAAGCTGAATCATGGCTGTTGGTCTGAATGTTTTATTACAACAGAGAGCTTAATTTTCCATAGCTTGGTACTTTTAAAAAGTAAACTATTTGCTTCATTCATCCTTTAAAAAGTCTATTACAAAGCAGTTGAGGCTGGATAGTGTAGATTTAGTGACTTCGCCACTTTGAGGATTTACGCTTGGAAACAAGCTTGCACAGTTATTTTTTTTTTCTTCCCTTTGTATGCCTGACTTATATTCCTGTATATTGGTCCTGGACCCCTTGGCACAACACTGGGATAAATCCTTTGGAAAGCACCAACTGGCTGTTTGAAATACCACATGCTTTACTAACACTGCTGAATTCATATGGTGATTTTGATATGGTTGCCTCTTCCTGATGAATCCTCCTGACTTTAAAGTCTTTAAATATCACTTTGAGCACTTATATAAATTAGGAGGAAAGGCTCACAGTTTTTAAAAATGCACTTTTTACAGGAAGCTCCCTTTGAGTTGTAAATATTAGTTTTTGGTTCTAACAAGCCATGTAATGCTATTCAGTCTGAAAGACTATGGTTCAGGGCCCATTAGTGTGCATTTTTCTGTCAGGTGAAAGCTGTAACCTTTGGAGTGAATTTTTCTTTCTTTCCACAGCTTATATAAAAGGTGGGTGGATCCTTAGAAAAGCTTGGAAAATCTACAATAAGTGCTACACGGACATTAATACACTTCAGGAATTGTATCAAAAGAAGATAACTCAGGAATCTCTGACTTCTGATGCTGCAAATGATAATCATATTACTGCAGAAGGTGTAACGGAGGATTCGCTAAACAGACTGAAAGGTGCTGTTAGCTTTGGATATGGACTTTTTCATCTTTGCATATCCATGGTGCCCCCAAACCTGCTCAAAATCATCAACCTGCTGGGTTTTCCCGGAGACCGCCTGCAGGGGCTTTCTTCACTGATGTATGCAAGTGAAAGTAAGGACATGAAGGCCCCTTTAGCTACGTGAGTAGCTATATTGCAATGCTTTGGTAGATAAATTAGTACTTTGACAGTAAGTAAACTACAGGCCAACATAAGTTTAGCAACACAGCCTTGATTATTTTAATGGAAACATCAGCAGGTGAAATTAACAGAGCAAATAGTTGGTTGAAATGCCATGGTTTATGAAATACACAGTACATTAATTCTAAGACTGCTATCAAGGGGCTTTTAATTAATTAATTTAATCTTACTGGAATATAAACTGGTTCTTATTTTAGAACGATACTTATTGAAAAGGACAGTTTTTAAAATCTTCAGTAGACTGCAACTTTGGTAAAATTTTATTTTAACTATTTGTTAATCCCCAGTTGTGTTGAACTACTAATTTTTAATGGCTCATTTTCTACTCACTCTCTACTTATATGTTTGGACCGGTAACTTCCATTCATTGTATCTGAAGAAGTGTGCGTGCACACAAAAGCTTATACCTTGAATAAAACTTTGTTGGTCTCAAAGGTGCCACCGGACTCAAACGTTGTTCTACTAATAATTTTTTATTTGAGGATTATTATGTGTTTCTCAAAACACAAATATCTCTGTCCAGACACTATTCAGTTCAATGGAGTGGGATAGTTATGCGTGCAGAATTATTTTGAATAGCTATAGCTTCCCTTTCTGTTCAGCTTAATAGAATAACCTTTTGACAAGAAATCCCAGTATGTTTTAATCTTCCCCAGCTGCACAGAACCTTTACTTTACAGTAGAATACTGCCATTGCCAGTTGCATCCTATTGAAGTGAATGGAAAAAAACCCCTGTATTGAATTTTTTGCTTTTATGGGGCACACACTTTTATTTTGGGGTTTAGCCAGTGTTTATTGTTTCATTGACCCTTAATAAAGTGCTGTTTTATTGTTGGAGCTATGTTCCTGTACTACAGCTGTAATACTTTAACAACTTGTTTCTGTTTAGAATGTGCTGTTTGGTAATCTGACTGAACAATGTAAGTTGCAGTCTGTTTTCTAAACATATTACATTTCAATATACAGTATGGTAAGAGTACTGTATCTTTCAGTTTCCCTTTAGTCGAATGGCTTCTTTTATTTGCGCCTTCTGTATTCTGGACCGGTATCCAAATACAGAGCTTTATGGGTTCTCCAGCTCACTTCAGTCGAAAGGATGCTTTTAATGTACAAAATGAAGGTTATGTAGAATGGCCATTTCCTTTGAAGTGAAGGAGAAAGATCACTAGTACATAGCATCATCTCCACATATCAGTGCACATGTGGCTCTGGATGGGAGCCCTCAGTTGAGGGGAGGGGCTGGACTGTGAATAGAGTTGTGCATGTAAGTGTGTAAAAGTTACCTAAAGTTGAAATTCCATGTAGCTGTGTGTGTAGGTGGGAGAAGTCCACAGTACATTCTCAATGTATATGAGTTTATAACTACAGTTGCTTATGTAGCTGAACTGGTAAAGCTAGTGTTAAATGGAACATTAGTTTACCTGTTCCACTGAGTAATCAAATTGTAGTAAAACTGTCTGAAATATATCTGTAATATGCATGCTTCTCTCCTGCCCACATCTGTGGCTCTGTAGGATTGTGACATTAGTAGGCTTGTGAAGAGGCGAGTTTTTTAAAGCATTTTCTCTTCTAAATATCCTCTCTCTTGCTGTGATTTAAATTTAGCTCTCAATTAAGGTATTAGATAACATTAGTCTGACACTAGAACAAGAGAATAATTGATCCCTTCGTCTTGTATCAGCATCTAACTAGGCAAGTGGGAGTTGTCATGATCATTTTTTGTATATTTTCAGATTAGCCTTGCTGTGGTACCACACTGTAGTTCGTCCCTTTTTTGCTTTGGATGGCAGTGATACCAAAGCCGGACTGCAAGAAGCTAAGGACATTCTTCAGAAAAAAGAAGCTGCTTATCCAAATTCCTCTCTGTTTATGTTCTTCAAGGGAAGGATACAACGCTTAGAGGTACTGTAAAGTTTCTCTAGTGCTTCTTTGAGATTCACTTAATCTAAACTTTTTAAATAAAGCCATAATTTCAGAGCAAAACATGCAGAATAAAAAAAGTCCATCGATTTTGTTGCTTTTCAGTATCGGTATTAACCGTAGTAGAGCCAAAAGGCTTATTACACCTAGCACCTGCTAGTTATCCTTGAAACATGACCTTTTGAGCTTTTTTATTTTAAGCAAACAGCATGTCCTATGGCAAAGGAAAGGCACTTCATCTCTCATATCTAGCTACTGTTCTGTTGGTGGTAAAGCCAGAGTCTTCCTGCCCCCTTGTGGCAAGAGAAATTAACTTCCCTGAAATTAGCACCAGCAGCTCTGTTCAACTTGCCACTGGTGATCCATCATATCATATACAAAGCTGAGTATTTATTTATGTTTTGTTGCTAATTTTTCATAATTAGCACTTAATTACTGGAAGTATTGCTCTATGCTGATCTGGTTTCCTTTTCCCTGTGGCACAAACCTCACTAGGGCTCTTCATGCTGAATCCTCACAAAACTCGCAGGCCCTCTGCTTTTTTCCTCATAGTCATCTTAAGATTCTGTGCATTACTTGGAAGTTAATGACTAGCCTTAAATGAATTATTGTGATAATCTTGCCAAAGTACATACCATTCTAGCAGACTAGATGCTCCTACAGTCTAGAAACAACTGTTTTTGCTGTATAGTACTCTCTTCTTTTTCTCTGTGTGGTAAACATCAAGCTGCATTTTGGTTGCTCTTTAACATACTAACCCTCAGACTTGTACTGTTTGGGGAGAGATGGTGCATGCATTTTCCATTTACAGCGGTAGTCCCATGTTCTAGCTTTAAAGTACTTCTGAGCATTCATAACAGATTTGAACCATATTTTCTCTGCTGCATCTTCTCTTCCAGAGTTTTATTGTAATCACCCAAGCCAGAACCTTCTTCCTGGTTTTAAGACTTTCCAGAGTTTTATTGTAATCACCCAAGCCAGTTCAGAACCTTCTTCCTGGTTTTAAGACTTCGATTATTGTGCTGATCATGTTGAACTTCTGGTATCACCAAGTGGTAGTGGAGCTTTCTCTAGAATGTGCCTTCTTGTTTTCAAAGGCTACCTTAAAAGACCACAAAAAGAATACGTCCTGTGAGGTGTGGGGTTTGGCCACAATTCTTACAACTGCCCACAATACCCTAATGCAGGGGTGGTCAAACTGCAGCTCGGGAGCCACATGAAGCTCTTTCTCACAGTCTAATTTAATTTTAATAAAAAGCAAATTTGCATATTTTTCAATAAAAATGTGTGTGTAATATTTGTCCATGCCTTGCAGCTCTCAGACATCTGACGCTTATTCTGTGTGGCTGTTATGTTAAGCAAGTTTGGCCACCCCTGCCCTAATGTGTTCTTACAGGGGAGGTTGGTAAGGCTATGCATAGAAAGAAGCTAATTAGTTTATAAAAATTAATAGAATAGTTTGTATTGTTTATGAACATTTGGTAGCACTTTTCCCTATGTAGTGGTATGTGTGGTGTTTAGCTCCTTCTGAAATCTCGGAGGACACAAACTACATAATACCGCACAACACTTTTCTGAGTTTGAACCAGTGCTCAAATTACAGGGCAGCCAGGGAAGGGAAGACAGTAGTACAGAGACTTGTAAGCCAAGGGGCGTTTGATCAGTAAGTAGAACAACCTACTGTGCATCACTGCTGTCCTGTACCATCTGCCCTGCCTCTCAGTTGATGCCTCTTCCCTGGGGAAGTCTCTCTTGAGTGATCCCAGGATTTATGGTTATTTCCCTTTGTGATTGCACCTCAAGTAGGTCTCTGGAGAGCAGCCTGAATAGCCCAGACTAGCCCAAGCTTGTCAGTTCTTGGAAGCAAAGTAGAGAGAAGAGGAGAAGAGATTAGATTTATACCCCACCCTTCACCTGGAATCTCAGAACGGTTTACAAACTCCTTTCCCTTCCCCTCCCCACAATAGACACCCTGTGAGGTAGGTGGGGCTGAGAGTCTTCCCTTGGTGGGTGTTGTTTGAGGCAGTTCTCATTGGCAGAAACATACCCAACCTTTAAGGTCAAAATTATATCACGGGAAAACTGAACTGTAGCAGCTCTAATAGCCCAAACTAGCTTCATCTTATCAGAAGCTAAGCAGGACCAATTCTTGGATGGGAAACCATCAAGGAAGACCAGGGCAGACTTTTGGTTTTGGTGCAGCAAGATCGAGGTGAGCTGTGGAGCTCTGCTCCAGCAGCCACTCAAATTGCACGGTTTGGGGGAGTTTGGGCTGTCCAAACTCCTAGGGGGGCCTCAGGAGAGGGGTCCCTGAAGCAGAGGGAGCAATGAAGACCAGACACTGGTGGCGGCTTGGATCTGGAGTCTTTTGTCTGCCCCGAAGCCCCAGCCCCACCATATTGGCCCTAAGCTGTGACTGCCAGATTTGGTGAGAATCAAAACTAAGCGTATTTCTACAATAAATCACTTTCTACATCAACTGCAAGAAGATACTTAACAAGTAAGCTTTTTTTCTCTCCGTACGTGCATGAAATATTTGCTGAAACAGAGATGAGGAACTCAACCAGGCTATGAGAAAGTTCAGAAAGAAAGGGGAGGTAGGGAATGCCTATTTAGCTATCCCTCCCCCCCTCTATTTGGAAGCCACTTTCAATCTAAAGGAAATAACATCAAAAGGACTAAATCATTAGAAGAATTTCACTGTGCTATTTATCTAACTGGTTGTAAACTAAAGAGTATCTGGTGGATTCTCATGTCTAGTCTAAACAAACCTTAATGGTTTGGCTATTTGACTAAATTGCTCCGTGGGGGGAAAAAGGCTACTTTTCAACTGATAACAGAAACAAGAACATTTTTGATGCAGCTCTGCTCCCAGTGCAGCGTAGTTTGTGTCTTTTGGCAGACCATGTTCAGGAGCTTTCTTGCAAATTTTACCAAGTAGAAAGTCTGTTGGAACAACCCTTAAATGAACCAAAAGATTTGAGTGAAGAGCTGACTTTGGAAGAGGAGGACTAACT